ACTTCAGGAAGAAGAGTCTCAGAGCTTGGGGCACTTTCCTGCAAATCCCTCTTTCTAATTCTGGAAAAAGACAGAGTCATTCTTCGTACTATTCCTGCCTTTCGTCCTAAAGTAGTATCCTCATTCTGCTCAGGTAGGGTGGGAGCTTCCCAGAAAAGCTCTTAAACAAAAGGCTGGAAAGATGAAGGGTGCGTCTGGATTTCAGCCAGTTCTTTTAGCATGTCACAATGGTGGGTCATGTTAGTACATTGTAGCACAAAGCGGCAGAATGAGTTATACAATGTATTAAGTTTATTAAGGCCTCCTGCCCTGGACTATGGCCCCTGGAAGATTTTGCCCTTGAAATATGTTATTTGAGCATAGTGGATTTTATTAGACTGGTTCTGGCCCTTTAAATGCTCTGACAAAGGATCTGAAGTTTTGCTAAGCACTTTGGATGCAGAGTGTGAAGAAAACCCCCTGTTTTATGGACTTAGTTTGACTGTTTTATTGCCCCCTCCCCTCTTAGAACACCAGTTTAAACCCTTAATAACTGTCATATTTTCAAACGCTGTCTGACCCATTTAACTGTCAGTTTGTTTTCCTCTGAGGAGGAGTTGTTTTTGCTGCGTGAATGCTGTTGCTTTGTGTGCTCATTAAAACAGACCTGCTTGACCCTTTCTTGAAGCCTTGGCTCATGCTTGGGGGATGGGATAAGTCTGCAGTGCTGATGGTGTCGGTTGGAGTGCTTGAAGTCCTCGGCAAGCACTAGGAGCATCGATTGGCAGAGGTACTCGGTCGGAGTGCCAGCGGGTCCGTCACAGGCAGGATTTGTTTATGTACCTTGGGGAACACCACAGGTGACTGGGAGAGAGAGGGAGTCGCTGTCTGAAATGGACACATATTGCGAGCGATCCGATACATATGATCGAACCCAGGTTAGCGGACAATAACCAATACCTGAGTATTTGAGTTTGTGCAGTAGAATGTCGTGGTCTACTGTGTCAAAGGCCTTAGCAAAATCAAGGAAAATAGCTCCAGTTAGGTCTCCTTGTTCCATGCCAGTTTGGATGTCATTGCAAACTTTTTAGAGGGCAGTTGTAGTGGAGTGATTCGAGCGAAAACCTGATTGATCATGGGTCAGATAGATTGTTAGTAATACATAGTTGCGTATGGACACATTTTTCTAAGATTTTTGACAATACTGGGAGCAATGATATTGGGCAATAGTTAGAAACCAAAGTATTGTGTCACGACTTTTATGGATAGGCACTACTCTACTCTCAAAGTTTGGGTATGTATCCAGACACCAAGGATTTGTTGATTAGGGTTGTGACAGGTTTAGCAATTGCCGGCGCACCGAGCTTCAACAGCATTGCTGGTATTTGATCAGGTCCAGACTGTTTTTTAATTTTTAGATTATTAATGCGTTTCTTAATGACACTAATAGGTGCAGGTCTAAAATTTAACTTGTCTATATTGGGTCTTTGCAAATTTAGTGGGGCCTGATCCACATTTGTAGTTTCAGGATGTGTGTCATTTATTAGCTTGGCAATCAGGGTAGTGGAGCATCTGAAAAAAATAATTGTTAAAGGCATTTGCTACATCTAAGGGAAGTTGCAGGGTTTCGTTATCCACTTTAACAGTGCAGGGTTGGGAGTGGATTGGGGGAATTTATAATTTATTTATCAAAATATCAATAGAACAAGCTATAGATGGCGCAAAATAAATAAATTTTTCACCTTATTTTAAAAACTTTTTGTTTAAGCAGCACCTTATTAGTGTATTAGGTCTCCAACACTCAATCCTAAAAAAAATAAATATATATATATATATATATATATATATATATATATATATATATAAAGTGCGCTGTGCCTTTAAGATTGTGCTCACAAAAGCTCTTGTCAAAAATTCTGAGTGCACATCGCACTTTATATTTGTTTTTTTTGTAATTAATTATGACTTTCTAAAAGTTTCTAGGGTTTAATATGTTATTGTTCAGATTTTCACAGAAATATTGGTCCTTGGCCAATTTTGTTTGTTTTGTGCATGTATTTCGCCATTGTCTATATGTACAGTCTATATGTACAGTGATCGCTCATAGAGCCACTTGAACTTTGACCACAATGAATCCCGAAACTAGTACATTTGGATGAGGTCAGCTGTGATCTAATTAATATGTGCCCCTTTTACTCTCACCTTACGCAGCGGGGCATGCAAATTCCAAACTTGTAGGAGTTCAGACAGAAAGAATTCAACTGCACAGTCTAGATCTGGGATAAAGTTTAATCTGTGCCATCATAAGGAAATCATCTAGCTTGCTCATCATTCCTTGAGGATACAAGAGGGTTCAAGCTGCCTCTTCTTCTTCCATTGGACGATGGATAATCTCAGCCATTTCTCAGGCTTCCGAAGCTTCTGGTGTCCCAGTTCCGTCAGGTCTTTGATCTCATTCCACAAGATCATTGGCCTCTTCATAGACAGCTGCAGCCAATATTTCTCGGGGCCACATTTGTTTAGCAGCAACAAGGTCCTCAATTAACACCTTTATCCAGCACTATGGCTGGATGTGGTCATATCAACTACCTCTGATTTTGGTAGACGTGTCCTTTCTCCCACCTTATAATTGATTTGGAAATAAAGGGTTTTGTTTGCATTAAATTTTAAATTTTTGTTTTCTTTCCCTCCCTTGTAACTTTCAGCTTGGGTATAACACATCTGTAGTGCTGCCATGAATATATCCTGGAAAACAGAAAATATACATCATACTTAACGATAGTTTCATTTCCCGAATATAGGCCATGGAAGAACTACATGGAAGAACTCCACCCTTTCTAAAAATTTTGTTTGTAGCTTTGAACTAAAACTGAAGTGACAGGGGAGGGAGTCTCTCTTTTATTATTTAACTAAGGTGTTTTCTGTCCAATTGAGGAGTGGGGTAGCTATATCCATCTGTAGTGCTGCCATGGCCTATATTCGGGAAACAAAAATATCGGTGAGTATGGTGTAAATTTTATGTTTTAGAACTCCAAAAAAAATTAAGCCATTTATCCTGATTTGCAGAATTATCAAACAAAAAGGTATTGACTGCAATATTATTTTAACCATTTCTGCCAGTGATGGTGAGATGGAAGTGAGGAGTTTCGCTGTACAGCTTCAATTTACCAAAACAGCTGTGGAAATTGCAGTAGTTCTGCGTTGGCAAACAATGCCTCTGCCATAAATGCTAAGATCCAGCTTGGATCGAAAGTTAAAAACCTCTAACAGAACAAATATTTTTTTCCATTTAAGAGTGTGACTTTTATACTTGTTTTGTTATTAAAGTCCTCATTGTAATGGAAATATTTACCCAGATAGGGAATTTATCATCACTTAGTAAGTACAATCCAGATTGTGGTTTCACAAAATGTAATTGTCTCAATTTTCGTCACCAGTGCCACATGAAAAAACACATTGCCTTTCTTTTTATTTTCTATGCAATAAATCTATTAACATCAGCATCTTTTATGCAATCTCTTGCAAGTCCATTTCCCTTTCAAAAATCTAAACACCCACGTGAAGTAATACTACCTTTAGTGACAGGAAAACAGTTTCTAAAATAGAAGATGCAACTACACTTGTCACACACACACAGCCAGATACATATATATCTGTGTGTTATAAATTGTCAACCAGAAGCATGTTTTTTGCCATCACTCTAGATATATATATATATTGGCTAATCCAATCTCTCTCTTTCTCTCTCTCTGGTTATATATAGTTTACATTGGATTAGCCGTATTGTGGTAGAAGCTACAGTATTAGTCCAGTAGACAAGATGCCAAAATAACAGAGTATTGCAGTATTTAATACCTTTTTTATTGGACTAACATACTATTTCAAAGACAAACTTTCGTGAGTTTTTTCCTCTCTTCCTTAGGTCTAAAGCAATATCGGTATTTTGGCATTATATATAGATTGCTCAATAAAATAAAGGGAACACTTAAACAACCCAATGTAACTCCAAGTCAATCACACTTCTGTGAAATCAAACTGTCCACTTAGGAAGCAACACTGAGTGACAATCAATTTCACATGCTGTTGTGCAAATGGGATAGACAACAGATGGAAATTAAAGGCAATTAGCAAGACACCCCCAATAAAAGAGTGGTTCTGCAGGTGGTGACCACAGTCCACTTCTCAGTTCCTATGCTTCCTGGCTGATGTTTTGGTCACTTTTGAATGCTGGCGGTGCTTTCACTCTAGTGGTAGCATGAGACGGAGTCTACAACCCACACAAGTGGATCATGTAGTGCAGCTCATCCAGGATGGCACATCAATGCGAGCTGTGGCAAGAAGGTTTGCTGTGTCTGTCAATGTAGTGTCCAGAGCATGGAGGAACTACCAGGAGACAGGCCAGTACATCAGGAGACGTGGAGGAGTCCATAGGAGGGCAACAACCCAGCAGCAGAACCGCTACCTCCGCCTTTGTGCAAGGAGGAACAGGAGGAGCACTGCCAGAGCCCTGCAAAATGACCTCCAGCAGGCCACAAATGTGCATGTGTCTGCTCAAATGGTCAGAAACAGATTTCATGAGGGCCCAACGTCCACAGGTGGGGGTTGTGCTTGCAGCCCAACACCGTGCAGGATGTTTGGCATTTGCCAGAGAACACCAAGATTGGCAAATTCGCCACTGGCGGCCTGTGCTCTTCACAGATGAAAGCAGGTTCACACTGAGCACATGTGACAGACATGACAGAGTCTGGAGACTCTGTGGAGAACGTTCTGCTGCCTGCAACATCCTCCAGCATGACCGGTTTGGCAGTGGGTCAGTAATGGTGTGGGGTGTCATTTCTTTGGGGGGGCCACACAGCCCTCCATGTGCTCGCCAGAGGTAGCCTGACTGCCATTAGGTACTGAGATGAGATCCTCTGACCCCTTGTGAGACCATATGCTGGTGAGATTGGCCCTGGGTTCCTCCTAATGCAAGACAATGCTAGACCTCATGTGGCTGGAGTGTGTTAGCAGTTCCTGCAAGACGAAGGCATTGATGCTATGGACTGGCCCGCCCGTTCCCCAGACCTGAATGCAATTGAGCACATATGGGACATCATGTCTCGCTCCATCCACCAACATCACGTTGCACCACAGACTGTCCAGGAGTTGGTAGATGCTTTAGTCCAGGTCTGGGAGGAGATTCCTCAGGAGACCATCTGTCCCTACCTACTATCTAGCGAAACCACAGCCAAGGGAACGGGCTTGGCGGAATCAGCGGGGAAAGAAGACCCTGTTGAGCTTGACTCTAGTCTGCAACTGTGAAGAGACATGAGAGGTGTAGGATAAGTGGGAGGCCCCCGCTCCTTCGCGAGCCACGGGGCGCCGCCGGTGAAATACCACTACTCTTATCGTTTTTTCACTTACCCGGTGAGGCGGGGGGGTGTTGATCATAGATCACATGTTGCCCAATTTGTTTCAAATTAACTATAATTTCTACATTACACAATCCAGTCTAAAGGCAGTCACTTCCATAAATATAAAAGACCAGACAGATACAGATATGCATTTAAATGCACAAATTGTTACTGATTCATTGGCTACCAAAACAAAAGTATGTTATGAATCTTATATCTTATACTAAATTTCACAATTTTCATTGCTGATGCATTGTCATCAGACTTCCTGTCACTCAAGCCTTCCTTCATATGGTATACCAGCAAAATAATTTGTGTACATAGAAAAAGTCTTAGATCTTTGAGTTCAGCTCATGAAAAATGGGGGCAAATACAAAAGTGTTCCGTTTATAATTTTGTTCAGTGTATTTTAGATTAAATTCACCAGCATGGGAATTAAAGTTCTGCAACAGCTCTGGATCTACCTTGAGTTCTATGACACAGTAAATATGAAATGAAAGGAAAATATATACAATTATGTAAAAGTTCAAATTGCACACTATAGAATTTGCTCACTCAATGTTAAAGGACCACTATAGGCACCCAGACCACTTTAGCTTAATGAAGTGATCTGGGTTCCAGGTCCATTTAGGATTAACCCTGCAGCTGAAAACATAGCAGTTTCAGAGAAACTGCTATGTTTTAATCCAGTCTCATTGACAGCCACTAGAGGCGCTTCCACGCTTCTCACTGTGATTTTCACAGTGAGAAGATGCCAGCGTCCATAGGAAAGCATTGAGAATGCTTTCCTATGGACTGGCTGAATGCGCACGCGGCTCTTGCCGCGCATACGCATTCAACCAATGACGAGGAAAGGAGGCGGAGAGTCCCCACCGGCGAGGGAGCCCGGTGATGGAGAAAAGGTATGTGTTTAACCCCTTCCTCACCCTAGTGCCAGGAAAGCGAGTATGTTTTCCTGGCACTATAGTGGTCCTTTAAGTTGTAATGTGCTAGTCACCTACTTGCAAATCTAACAGAGTTAGAAAAAAAAGTCTAACATTATTTCCAATTTGTCTCCATTGTTCTAAATATTCCAAGTCAGTTTTTTTGTTTGTTTTGTTTGTTCAAAAAACAAAAATAACAACCACCCTATTTTTATTTTATTTTCAAATAATTTTTATTGAAAACATTTTGCAGAATTTACAAATAATAAAGAACAATATATTAGGGAAGGGAAAGGAAGGGTGACAACTGGGAGATGGGGGGGGGAAGCCATCCATCCATTATAACAGTAAATATGTTAAAGTACAAGGCACTTGAGTTGAATAACACAACATTACAAGTTATTACAGGTTATGTGTTTTTTTGACATCGGTTTCCCATTGATACCAGTGGTATTTTAATTGTGCAAAAATGTGTGTGTTATTTCTATGTGATAGTTCGTATGCTTTGTTTTCTAATGTTAGTGTCAGTACTTCCTTGATAGAGAGTGTATGTTTAGACTTCCAATATCTAGGTAGACATGTGGTGGCAGCTATCAGTATGTGGCCTGCTATAATCCTATCGATTCTACTGATGGATTCAGGGAATTTTTTAAAGAGAGCTAGATCAGATGTGAAATTGTCTATATTCCTGTTCACTTTAACAATTAAGTTGTGTATCGATTTCCAGTATTAAGTTAGTCTTGGGCAATACCACCATATGTGGGCCATATTGCCCAATCCTCCGCATATTTTTATTTTCTATATGGCATTTCAACCAAATGTAGATTTTTGTTGTATGTCATCTAAATATTTCCAAGAATCAAGTTTCCACAACTTTCCCAGTATTCCCAATTCAGCATGCAAATGAGCACAGAAAAGTATCATGATATATACATTTTAATTTACCTACGTTTTTATTGTTTTTCTCTCACCATAACTTATTTATACTTAGGCCAGGGCAAGTGCATCCATAAGGCGGCACAGGTGGCCGGCTTAGGACATACCGGCTCTGGGGGCGCAAGTTACAAGTGACCGGGAAGGAGGGAAGCGCACAGCACTCCCTCCTGCCAGTCACTCAGTGTAGCGTGGCCAGGAGCTTCTGATTCCTGTTCCCTGCCGGACTGACTGGAAGAGCTCACCGAGAGAACACTTAATTTTAGTCCGGGTACAGAAAACAGAAGCTCCTGTACCGCGGTCCGCTTCCACTCGGCAACACTACAAAAGTGGTAATGTGGAACACCAGGGAAGGGAGGGGGAGGAACACTAAGGGGGTGGGTAGTAAAGGACCACAAAGTCACAGGGAGGGGAGAGGAACACTAAAAGAGGGGTAGGGGTTGATTAAGGGACGGGGGGGACAACTAAGGGACAGGGTAGGGAGAGGAGAGCTGCACTAAGGGACAGAGAAGGGAGGGAAGAGGAACAGCAAGTAACAGGGAGGGGAGAGGACCACTAAGGGACAGGGAAAGGAGGGGAGAGGAACACCAAAGGGGGGGGGCACTAAGCAACAGAGGGAGAAGGGGAGAGAAACACTAAGCAACAGGGAGGGGAGAGGACCACGAAGGGACAGAGAAGGGATGGAGGGGTACACCAAGGAACAGGGAAAAGAGGGGAGAGGACCACTAAGGGACAGGGAAGGGAGGGAGAGGAAACAACTAAGGGGAGACAACTAAGGGACGGGGGGGGAGAGACTAATAAGGTGCCGGATGGTGGGGGAGAGGAGACCACTAAGGGACAGAGATGGGAGACATCTAACGGACAAGGGCAGCGTGGAAGAGATTACAAATAAATGGGGAAGGGGTGAAAGAGACACACAAAGGGGCTGGTGGGGGAGAAAGAGGCACACAGCGGGGTGTGAGTGGGGAGAAAGACATACAGAGGGACATGAGGGGGGAGAATGACACACAGATGGGCTGGGGATGAAATAGACACACAGAAAGGCCTTGGGGGCGGAATACACAGTGTTGCTGGGGCGTGAAAAAGACACAGAGATCCTGGGGGTGTGGGGAGACACACAGAGTGGCTGGAGAAGGGGAATAGGAGGCACACAGACAGACTGAGGGGGAGACAGATGGGCTGGGGGTGAAAGATACACACACAGAGGAGTTGGGAAGAGTAAAAGACACAAAGGGGCTGGGGGGGAGTAAGACACAAAATGCAGGAGGATGTAAAAGTCATACAAAGAGGGGGGATAAGAGATGCAAGGGGAGTTGAAAGAGATACCCAAAGGAAGTGCAAAACACACAATGGGGACAAATAGGGGATAAGATAAGACACTAAAGGGGTAAGACATGTAAAAGAGGGGGTACAAAACACAAAAGATTTTTTGGGGGTGAACAAAATGCATTTTTGCCTCTGTACCCAAAAATCCTTGCACTGGCCCTGTACTTTGCCTTCTACCAAGAAGAATACACTGACATTTCTCATAGTTTGTATATGCTGGAAGGTTAGAGAGAATAATTAACACATACAATGGGTTAAGGTACATCCAGTCACATGAGCTCAGAACAGGTACATCTTGTGACATTTAGCCACATGTTACATTTCACAATACCTGCAAGCACTCCTTCCCTGTTTGGCTGCAATAAAGGAAGCAGTCCCGTGTTGTTTTTGTTTTGAAACCTATGCATCAGTGGCGGAACTACCACTTCGCAGGGGTCGCAGCTGACCTGCGGACCCCTGTGACCACGGCCTTGAAGGGGTCCATCTGGTGGCCCATGCAATGAATTTCCAGTGCCGCGGCCCCCTGAGATGACATCAGAGCTAGGAGGAAGTGGGGGTGGTGGGGGGGGGAGGACATGGGAAACGTATGGGAGCGGGCCCAGGGCAATTTATGCACCGGGGCCCCATGGTTTCTAGTTACGCCTCTGCTATGCATGTTACATAAATGTGTTTGCAGACCTCCACACATTTTAAAGGGACACAGTAGATGCTATAACCATGTCATCTCATCGTATTGGCATTTAATCCCTTTGAGTTGCCTCTCCATGCAGTGCTAAATGATTTTTGAGCAGTTTAACACTAAATAACGGTCCCTGGTGACCCACAGACCTGTCTCTTGCTGGAGCTATGGCAGTACGACATAGATTACACACTTCCACCTAGCAATATCAATTCATACATGCAATGGACACTGGACTGGCTGAAAAAGGTCAGCTGACACTCTCAACCAATCACAGCCACCCATTCCATACCCATCCACTCTGGTCTCCAGAACATGCGCTGTTACAGCTGGAGAGCAATCTATACGCACGTATCTGTTCTACACTTGTGGATGCATTCGGGAAGTATACAGACGAAAGGGACACTTTAAATTCTCCCTCACCACAAGGATATTCCCCATCGAGCAGGAGTGCACTCCAACTATCGGCTACAGGCTAGACTGGAAGTAGCGCTAACCCACACCTCCAATCTTGTTTTAATTGGGAACCAGATTTGACAATTTAAAACTGAATTAGCTTTTGTTGATGTCATTAGCCTAGGTTTTCACACTCTTTTCCCAAACTATACTGTGAATATTTGAGTGATATATTCAATATGTACAAGAACAATACAATAATATATGTTAAGTTAAAACAGATTGTATTTGTTGATTAGTTTAACTTAGATGAAGACACGTTTATACATAAATGCAGTAATTTTTAAAGGGTTCACATACTTTTTCTTGGTACCCTATATGCTTGTCTTGTTTTACCCATTGTAGAGTGCGCATAAATTAGTGTTTCATGAATACGTATAATTGTACTACCCTGGAGTTGTAAGTGAATGATAGACTTACAGGGTTAATTACTAGAGTGAGAATGTAAGGTGAATTCAAAGAAAATTTTAAATATAAGGCCAAAGTAGCCAAACTGGAAAAATCCTCTAAGTCAACTATGCTTTCAATTCTGCTACTCTGGCCTTAATTCTGAAATTCTCTTGGAATTCTAACTTTAGAGAATAACCCTGTATTTAACCCCTTAAGGAGCAAACTTCTGGAATAAAAGGGAATCATGACATGTCACACATGTCATGTGTCCTTGAGGGGTTAATGTTCGAGTAATGTAAGATGATAAAAAGAACTCTGTTCATACTCATATATTGTACAGTCAACTTCATCTGTGTCAAAAGTAAACTGAGACCACAGGCTCCTATACTATGTGACATGATTGTCCCAAATCCGAGGAATTTTAAAGATTTCTAAAAATAACAGAGCAATCTCCCAGACAGAGGAAGTAGAATTTGGGGTCGCAACTATTCAAATATACTTTTAATTCTATTCTTTTATAAGTTTGTGTTTTTTAGTATATCACAGAAAGGGAAAATATTATTATTTCATGTTCTGAATTGATATTTGATATTTCCAGTAAATATAACTTGTGTTTCCCTTTTGTTAGATGACTTTGTATATTATTACAGGAAATAAAACATAAAATGTGAAATACAGTTCTGCACATCACAGCACAAAAGCAGAACATCCTGAGTGAAAGACACACAATAAGCAATATGACAGATATATGCTTTTCTAGAACACCAAACACCAGTTACACTGCTATTGTTTTTAAGTTATGTTACATTCCATTTCAGTTGGTGTGTTACTCACTGGAATATATAGTGGGTGACAAAAACAAACAAAACAAAAAACTATGACCATTTACGGTTAATAAAATAATTTCAGGGCTGGATTTATATCTCAAGATAGTGATCATATGAAGCCATTTATTATAACATAGTTGTTTGGTTCCTTTTTAAATCATAATTTTAACAGAAATCACCTAAATGGCCCCGATCAAGAATTTGTATACCTGTGAATGTTTGGCCTTGTTACAGACATACAAGGTGACACACACAGGTTAAAATGTCAATTAAAGGTTATTTTCCACACCTATTAAATTGCAATTAGTCCCTGTGTATACATAGTAAATGAGTTTGTTAGCTCTCACATGGATGCACTGAGTAGGCTAGATACTGAGACATGAGTAGCAGAAAAGGACTGTCAAAAAACCTGCGTAACAAGGAAATGGAACTTTATAAAGATGGAAAAGGAAAACGCCAGTTAGTACTGTTCAATCACTTATTAAAAAGTGGATACCAAGCCAAGGTCAGGTAGAGCTAGAAAGATTTCAGCCACAACTGCCAGAAGAATTGTTCGGGATACAAAGAAAAACCCACAGGTAACTTCAGGAGAAATACAAGCTGTTCTGGAAATAGATGGTGTGGTTGCACAATGTGACGATACTTGAACAAAAGTTAGCTGCATTGTTGAGTTACCAGAAAGAAGCATTTACTGCTCCAATACCACACAAAAAAATCCTGGGGGGGGGGTAGGGCCTGATCTGCAAGTTGGCCAGACATGCTTACAGGACGCTCCTGCCACCACAAACTTTAAATCGACTAAACCTACACAAAAAACTGGCAGAAGGATCAGAATTTTGCTTGACAAGCACCTTAAACGACAGGGATATTGCGGATCCCAAATTACCAGCTCCTGAAAGCGTGCTTTACCTTCTGGCCTTGCGGCCTACCAGGACTGAGGGCCCGACGGCTGGGAGAGGCAGCCAATCTCCTGCTGGGGACTACGCATCCTGAAGAACAACCACAGACACCCCGTTGCCCCTCCCCGGGACCGGTGGGGGATATCCCGGTCCCCACTTACCAAAATAGCCTGCAATCAGCGGAGTCTCAGACCGCATGGTTTATTAAAGATGACCACCATGCGGAAGGCTTTCACGGCAACAAGCAAATCTAGATAGCCTGGACTGGGCACAGGGCTTCAAAGCCAGTTTTGAAAAGTTATGCCGAGATTTTTGGACCCGCATAGCCACCAGATCCAACACTCCTATCCCACCTGGCCAACTCCAGTGCAGTAAACAGAGATCAGCTACAGCAGCACCGCTCCACCCGTATCTGCAGCACGGCAAAGCTATGACAAAACCCAAGAATCCTGACATTGTGCCAAAGGTGGGTAAGTGGAAGCAAGTGCCTCAAACACTGCCAAGTCGCCAAAAGCCCGGTCATCCCGTGCGGCACAACCTACATAAACCTCAGCCCATAAAGAGAGGCCCTCAAGCACACAACCACACAGAGCTCCTACCCAGCGTATTGTTAAGGCACAAGCAAGGGAAAGACCTGTGAGGGGCCCACCGACAAAACAACGACTTCAACAACCCACCTCAATACCTTGCAGTTGTTCCTCTGTGGGACATACTAGCGGCGGCAGAGTCCTGGCCCACAGGCCGCACGGTGGCATGACACACACTAAGCTACACCGACCACGAGCACCGAGGGATACTGGTCCTGTGGATGGTTTTTGTCCTGCTGGCGTGACACAGGAGCACATCTCATGGGACTGGTGGTGCCCAAGCATGTGGAACAGTGGACTCATGCCTTCCAAGGTTGGCGGCCTGCCACAGTTAGGCATTGGTTAAACAGCCTTATGCAGGCCCCTTAGCGACAAGCTTTAGTTTAAGGGCTTGAGACAACTTGATCTGCTGCTCTACCATAGGCAATAGCTCTACTAACCTAGATTCTCCCTCTGTTCGAATTTGTTATGGGGGCGCAGCCCAGTGGTTATTTTATTTTAGTTTACTTACATGTTACTTACACGTTTTCAAACAGTATAATGCTTTACATTAATGCGTATTACTTTACTCAGCATCCATGTGAGTAAACCCATGGCGTCCAAGCAAAGTTAATGCTCTCGTATGTTTACCATATTATGCCTATCGTGCTTGACTGTCTGCAGGACCTTATACTAAAAATTCTACTTCAGCACCCTCGGGCATTAATGGCACCATGTTCTGATGCCTTTAGTATTGATGTTGATGCTTTAATAACATAGCTAACTAAGCCTGTTTACAATATAAACTCACTAGTAATGTTGATGCTTTAACGACATAACTGATTAAGCCTGCTTACATTATAACCTCACTCTTAATGTTGATGCTTAATGATATAACTAACCTAGCCTGCTATTATAATACTGTGCTTGTTACTCATATGTCCCGCATGTTAAGCGAGAAGAAACGTCTGAGGAGTGCTTTTGGGGCACTTCAGGCCTGCTTGTACCATTTCTATGCACTGCAAAAATAAAAATGTGTATATAAAAAAAAAAAATCCTGGGGATATTATGCCCAACACCACCATGACATACCTCACAGCTTCTTGCACACTGTAATTTGAAGTGACGAGACCAAAATAGAGCTTTATGGTCACAACCATAAGCGTTATGTTTGGAGAGGGGTTAACAAAGCCTATAGGGAAGGGAGGCATGGTGGTGGGTCACTGATGTTTTGGGTATGTGTGAGCTCTAAAGGCACAGGGAATCTTGGCAGACAATTTGCATTCTTCTGCACTAAGAGTACGCATAGGATGCTCTTGGACCAGCATGACAATAACCCTAAACACAAGGCCAAGTTGACCCTCCAGTGGTTACAGCAGAAAAAGGTGAAAATTCGGGAGTGGCCATCACAATCTCCTGATCTCTACTCTAGGGAGATCTCAAACGTGTCGTTCATGGAAGATGACCAAAGACTTTGCATGACCTGAAAGCATTTTGCCAAAACGAATAGGCAACTATCCCACCTGCAAGAATTAGGGGGCTCATAGACAAATATTACAAAAGACTGCATGCTATCATTGATGCTAAAGGGAGCATTACACAGTATTAAGAACTAAGGGCATGCAGACTTCTGAACAGGGGTCATTTAATGGTTTTCTTTGTTACCATATTTTATGATTGTGCCATTCTGGTATAACCTACAGCTGAATATGAATGTGTTTTTCCTGCTCACCCATGTTTTCATTAAAATTAAGGGTATGCAAACATTTTCTAAATAAATATATATAAATAACTAAAATACACACAATAGTAATAGTATAGTGCTTCATATAAAATAAACTTTTCAACAAACATAAATATGTTTTTCTAAAGTGCTAGTGCAAAAACAAAAATACTTTATAGACTGTAAGCTCCTTTGAGCAGGGCCCTCATCAACCTATCCTTCCTGTAAGTTTTCTTGTAATTGTCCTATTTATAGTTAAATTCCCCCTCGTATAATATTGTAAAGCGCTATGGAATCTGTTGGCTCTATATAAATGGTGATAATATTTAAAGAGCGGATCAATAAATGCTTTACGTGTCATATCCTTCTGAGACCCAGCCGATTTACTTGTGTCCTCTACTGGACAATTTGATTATATTCATCTCCTTTTATTCTTTTGATCAATCCCTGCTGTATTGTAAAGGACATCCAGGGCTTCCCAGTTATGTCATGTGATAGGCTGGGATCTTCCTATTCTTTAAAATGGATGGCATATTGGAAGACAATTTTTCCCTTGGTTCCCAGGAAGATATAAAATCCTATATATAAATAGTTATCACACAGGAAGTTCTGGTTGAAAATGCACTCTGTTACACATGAAATATATGCATAAACAAATGTAAAGTGCATATCAAAATTATTCAAGTGGCACCATTAAAATGCCAATAAAAACAGATACTCCGCAGTTAAAACCTCAAAGAGGGAAAAAATAAATACACAAGTACAATAGTGCAATACGTTGAGAACAATGTAATACACCCAAGAAGTCTGTATAAATGTCCACTCATGAACTAGAGCCCAAAAATGTCTGTGCACCTTTGAGTCTTTGGGAGACATCTTGTATAATTGTTTGAACCTCAGGATATATCTAATTTGTAATTTGTAATCTATTATAATAGAAAAACTCATTTGCACTTTAAATTTGTTTATGCCTATATTTCATGTCTAATACTGAGTGCACTTGCAACCAACCCTTCCTATGTGATAACTATGTATATACTGGATTTTATAGTACATCTAAAACAGTTATTGATCCGCTCTTAGTAAGAAAGCTTTTTTTTTGCACTAACACTTTAGAAAAATACATTTGTTGAAATATGCTTATATGAAGCACTACACTATTGGGTTTGTTAATGGTGTTAAAGGTAACACTTATTTTGTACAGCATCTTATTAAACATTGCACCTCTTACATATTTGATTTGCGGAGAGGTTTGTGTTTTTTTTAAGCCCCTTTCTATAACTTTTTTGAATTCTTTATTTTTCCGTGCACGAGTTTAAACATAATCGTTCATGTCGTGCCCCAATGGCAGGAACATGTTTGGAGGAAACAAAGTATAACAGTTGTTGCATAGAAATTGAATGCACATTTGTTTTATATTAGACACATCAGGCTTGAGCAAGATAATCAGTGATGCAATAACACTGCAGTTGATAAAACATAGGTTGTACTGGCTGACTGAGAAGTATAGAAAAATAAACTAGTGCTTTACACATGAGTTAATTGAAAAGTCAAATGAAACAGTTGACTGACTAAACACAACATGTTAGCTAGTGTGTGGTTGGCATTTTATAGCGTTTAGTAATATAATTAGGCTTTCAAGTTAAACCACAGATTCCCTAGTACTCTTTGTATGGATGTTCTGCTCATAGGGAGGTGTAAAGACACGACTACACAAGGCATGTTACCCAGACTCAACATTAGCGGTTGTCTGCGCTGCTTAGTCTTTGCTGGTATAGAGGATGCCAGGGTGGGCATGTCCTTTCTATAGCTTTAAATATAAACAAACCAAGAACATATTGACAGTAGCCCCAAGCCAACACTTCCTACTGGATAACATAGCCCCAAATACAAGTCCAATTTCTAATCTGGTTATTGCACAGTGTGCTTTAGAAGTTCTTACCTCCTGCTCTGTTAGTGGCCTATTTTTTATTTTCAAAGTTCAATTAATAGAGGTGGTAAGAACTTAAAATGAACACTGCAGCCACTATAACATCTTCTTGTTAAAGCTTTTATAGTGCCTTCATTTCTATGCTCCAAACCTTTTGGGTTGTAACCACAGCACCAAGCCCTCTAGGTAGAACAGGGACTGTTACTGCTGATACCCAATCATATTATGTTACAATACACATGAGGCAAAACACAAATAACCCTTTACCAATATCTTATAAAAAGTTTAATATGTAAACTATAGGCAGGGTGGGAGATAGGAATGTGTTGAAACAGCTGATGAATAGCAGCATAAAGTATCAGGAACCAAAATAAAGTTTAGTTTTATTAGTATGTGCACGCCACTAGAATAAGTGGAAGAGTGACACGTGTCTTTAGAAGCCCCACTGGTTATCCTTACTTTTATGGTATTTAGTATGACACCACACAATGGCAGTGTCGTCAGTCATTTCATGCAAAGAGTCTTCAACAGAACCATAGGCACCTACAGTGCACAAGGCTCCTCTGACAAGCATCCAAGATAGATTCACTTGAAAATGACAGCAGCACAATTTGAGACTAGGAAAAGGAGTAAGATTTTATAAATTTTCAGTGCATGGATGGGAAAGCCTTGTGAAATGTGGATTCGATGTTAAAGTTCGAAGACTTATTGGTGAAATACTGTTTTAAACCACTAGCATTCCACGATTTTAAATCGGCCAGCCTGTTTTTATTTTATTGTAAAATGGTTCTGGTACTACCTGAAGCACATCTTCCTTGACCACCAACAAATGCTTGGTGGTGATTGTTCCATGTTCTGAATGGAACAGTAAGGTTTGCTAAAATAGACTTCATGCAAAACTACTGCATGAGTGACAGATCCAAAGATGCTGGGAAAGCCAGACAGGCATCTTTAAGCAAGTGATGTAGCAGTGCCTCCTAGCTAGACCATATAGAAAGACTAGTCATTGTTGGTCTAATACACTAAAAGCCTTTATGAAACATGCAAGATTTTGCCCTGCCAGACTTTAACCATGTGACTGGTCTAGGCTACATCACTACATGTACATGGCTTCAATACTAACTTAGTGTTTGTATTGATTATGCCTTTGCAGACCAAACAAAAAAGTTGATTTAACAAGTTTAATATTACAAAAGAATTACAAACAAAACAAGTTCATTATGATCAATGTAAACAAATTAAAATCCAACTTGAATGTGGGACACAAAACCCAACATGTGACAATAACTTATGTCATTGAGCAGTAAGTAAACGGTCAGTTCTTTAAAACAAGATTCACATCCTGGTGTATTCTAGACAGGGATCTTCAAATTAGACTAGAGGATAACTAGCAGCTGTAGCAATCCCACAGTGGTTGTCTCTATCCTTTGCAATCCAAATGTAGCCTTCATTTCCCCATTTTTCACTCCAACTGAGGGGGAAAGAAAATATTAGCAACTGGAATTTCATGCACATCTACTTGCAACATTTTGACAGTAAATTGTTAGTTTTCAGTGGCAACTACTAGAGACAAGATCGATTGGACTAAAAAAGTTATGGCTTCATCATATAGGGTGTGAGAAACAACCAAGATCAATTTAACGAGTCATAACATTGAGATGGGTACTCTTGCTAGAAGAGGTGACCAATACAGGGTCCTGGCAACATAGTATATGAGCAGTTTGAAAATTAGTATGGAAGGACTTTAGCCATCTGATTGAGGCCTAAATGTAATTGTTTATTTTGAACATTTAATTTGAAATGACATTTTCAAGTTCTGAAAAGAATTGAGATTTCATACACAATATTTAAAAAGCTGATCTGAAGGTATAAAAGCCAGAACAGTGAAACTTAATGAAAAAAAATAATTCACAAGTTACATGAGTTGCAGAGTGACTCCTGGCACCACACCACTAGTTATGTTGAAAATGTCCCTTTAAATTAAGAACTTTTTACTCCAACATCTACTTTTAAAAAGTAGTCATGTGCATTGTACTGATAGTTAGTGCCAGATCACAGCCACACATGGTCTGGGCAGCCAGAAAGTGTTCCAAGTCTGGCAACTAAAAATTGGAAGAACTCACAATGTGGAACCATTATTTAACATAATGGAATGCCATGCCTACCTGTTCTTCACAATCCAGTATTTTTTGCCATCTTCATCTGATCCTTCAAATCCATAGCCAACAGCAAGAACACCGTGATCAAGGGAACTGCTATTGCACTCTGGCTCATAATAGATTCCTGTAAGAGAAGTGCCTTTAAGTACACAGCCATCAATAAACATTGCATGCATACATCTCAAACAACTTTGGTGATCTTACCAGATTGGTAGAACTGGAATGAGGAATGTCCTGCATCAATTGCAACAGAAATTGGGCCTACTGAAGCAAGAGCCTTCATGAGTGCCTTCTCGTCTCCCTTATTGATATCCATAAAACCAGTGTCATTTGCAGAGTTGAAAGATGGGTCATATTTGCACTCTGTGCCATCCTGTGAGGACAAGTTAAGGCTATTTGTTAGATGCTGCATTTGAGTATACCGTTACAGTTATGAAGGCTCTTTAATGTCAACACATCAGTGCCAGAGGTTACAAGTTGAAAGGTTGAATAGGCTTACCTTAGCAGTGTATGGGTATGATTCCTCAGAATCTATACCATTATTATCAGATATGTATTGGAAAGCTTGATCCATTAGCCCACCATTACAGCCTTCATTGCCTTCGGGTCTAGAACAGTCGACTAGATTTTGTTCACTCAAAGAAATCATGGTTCCGGTTTTCCGGAAGTGCTGTCCTTCAAGAGCACCAGTGGCACTGAAAGCCCAGCATGAACCACACTGCCCCTGTAAGGAGAATGTAATACAAACTTAATATTTATGTTGTTACATAAGCTAGTGCTACATGATTAAAGGGCACCATAAGACCTTTAGCTACAGGCCTTGTTAAACCATTAAAGATGCCATCCTATATGGCTGCAAGAAGTGTTCAGAGTCAATAACCTTGACTAGTCTCAGAGATTTGTATCAATATGGAGTAAGGTCGAACGTCTCCAGAATTTCTCAACTGACAATTTAATTACTGTAGCACATAACGTAAAAGCCAGCCTCTTTCATGCCCATCAAATATAGCTAGGAGTTTTGTCCAGACTGAGCAGCCTTCACTGGATTTAAATAAAGTTTAGGCAGTCTTGTTCACATTAGCAAGTGTTACATCTGTATAAGTGACTGCGCAGCACTGAGACAAGGGAGACCAAATACAATATTGCCATTACCTGATCTTTAACTGGTGTTACATATCCATGTTTGCGCCAGTCGACTGTCTTGGGTGCTTCAAAGTTTAAGGGAGTTAGGAATGTTGCTCCAACTGCCTTTGAGGGAGTGCGCTTGTATCCATTCATCAACTGTCTGAACTCTTCTGTTGTCTATTCAGATTAAAAAAAAGTTAGAGATCAATTAACCATTTTTAAGAAACAGTAATCTATGGTGCTAGACCTTAAAACAAAGTGAAGTCGAGGTTTTAGCAGTCTGACATTTTTAGTTCTTACCATGTCTCCAAACTGGTTCATTCCCATCCTGTAGGAGTGTTTTCCCATAGAGTGGTCAAGGTTGTGCATCTCAATCATTTTAAGGTTCTTTTCCCATACTAGTCTCCTCCAACCTTCTTCCTTCTGTGGAACAAGATAGTTTAATTAATTACACATTGCAAAGTAAAGAGTGCATAACAGTAACATTAAGTTGAGCACTGTTAAACCTTCCACTATTAGCAGCCAATTACCAACACCAGTTCTACCCTTCATTGAAATAGGTAGACAAGTTAAATCAAATGCTCATTTGGATGAGTTTATTAGAAAGGTGTTACACATTCATTAGCGAGGGTGAAAAAATAAAGAGGTTCTCCATTGGATTGTAATAGCTTACCACATTCAAATTATAGCAAAATTTAAACCCAATTTTCTACATTGTACACATGTGCAAAACCATTTAGTGCAATTTCAACTCTGGGAGGACTTACCCCTGAATAAGATTTGGCATGCCAGCTTTTCCACAGCTGCCAGTGGCTATCCAGTTCAGGATCCATAGAAGGGGCAGCACACACTGCAGTTAGGCAAACTGCAACAATACTCCAAAGCAGCACCATGATTCCTTAGCTGGGGGAAGGAGGAAAGAATTCAATGACAATCCACAATTGCAGTTAACAAAAGAAAGGCACAGATCAGATACACAAAAAGGAACTGAACAGCTGTCAACCCAAGAAACTGCAACTCACACCTCTAGTCAACAGCAGCACAATTAAAGCAGGAGGAGGTTATTTAAATGTAATTTGAGAAGTAAACATCTAATGGATACACTTTAAATGCATTGGTGGCTTTAAGATTAGTTTAGGGATTTTAGTTTTAGGTCTGCCGGGAGTGAATTTTGATAAAATTAAAAAAAATTACGTAAACTATGGAAGTAAAACATTAGCCAGAATTTGAAAGATACAGTTCTACACTAATAAATAGACTAGAGACAGAAAAAAAAGTGTCTAACGGGTTATCCACAGCTCCATGCAATACTAGAGAGGTTATGCAAGAACGTGTTGCATGATGATACATACACGCATCCTGCAGAGTCATAGCTGGGAGCAGCTGATAGAATAGGGAGGAGACTGATCAAAACAAGCTGGATGGGAACTGCCTCGGGGGAAATGAGACAAGTAAACAGAGGGTCTCACCATCATAGCCACAGTGATGGGAGGAAGAGACCCAGGAACACCAGGTGGGACCAAACTGTACAGCCGGAAAATAGCGAACATTCTACACATCGAACCCTCACAGCATGAACAGCACCGCTTATACTACACACAGCGTACACGGCCCATCACTGGAACACTTCAAGGGCAAGAGTACAGTGTGGGCACTTACCGGGAGAGGCGGTTCCAGTATTTATAGCAATATTCCGCACTGCACTAACATACACGGACCCTCTACTCACTGCCATACCGCATGGAGTCACACGGGTCTCACTGTACCCAGCACCGAGTGTAACGGGCACTGTAAACCCCTCACTCCCTGTATTCCTTCATGCCCCCAAACTCTCAGCACACAATGACTCCCTGCCCCCACCGTTTTATCACCCCCGCTGTATACACATACCTTACTCTGTGACCCTGACTCGGGAATAGCAGGCATCGATCCGAGCGGCCGCCTATAAATATACCGAATTCCCGGGGCACGCCTACATGAGTGACGTCACCCACGGCGATTGGGCAGCATTCCATGGGATTGGGCGGGCGATCATGTGACCTGGAGAGCGCGTGATCAGTCCGGTGTCCCGCTGGGAGAGATGGGGGGGGGGATGGGCACGTGGTTGCGTTTGGAGGCTGGAGAGAGGGGCTCTGGGCACGCACACACTGCAGTTTTTTTTTTTTTTAAATATATTTTTGTGTTTTGATGATATTTTGCCCTGTATATTATTTTAATATAAAGTGTGACACTTATTAAACTTTTTTTGCAAGTTATGTTAGTAGCCAATCATAGGAAATATGTGACTTTTCTTAATTATTATGACAAGTAGAAAATGTAAGTATTTGAGAGTGGCATGGGGCACTATATCCAAAAATGAAACACAACATCCTGCTTATTACAGAGCTAATGCTTACAGGGCTATGTGTAATCATTGAAATATTAATTCAAGTTGACAATGAAATAGGGTGTGTGCATTTTAAGCACGTGTCAACTGGAATCAATAACAAACATTCTAAAAGAGATATTAATAGTAAGGTAAAGGTGCGTCTTTGCAATTATTGAGCGATGCCTCAGTAGTCAAAAAAAATTCTACACATAATCCTTACATTTGATTGCTTAATAATTTATTTATTTGAAATTTGAAGAAAAAAAAATTTCACTTTCAGAGTGGAAAAAACAAAAACATATTTTTCTATTATTTCAGAGAGACTCTTTCTAACGAACTTTATTATATCATAAAATGTGACTTTGCTCTTTAGTTTATTTTTTTCACCATACATGTGTCTCATTTTTTTAATTGCTCAAAAATATGTTTTCATAAAAAGTGTACTATAAATGATAATTTTAATAGAAAGGTTTTAAATACACTTTGAAAGGTAAGAGTAAAAAGCTTTAGGCAACCCCTCTCAGATCTGAGAATATTGTACTATTTAATTAAAAATGTAATTTTTCCTGCATGGCAAGCTGTGTGGACGCGGGATATTTTATTAGCAAAAGAACAAACAGCTGCTGCTTTTCGAAGTTGAGGTGAAGACATCTGTCTGTTGTTTTATTTAACAATATCCAACTACAAGCCCCATGATTCTCACCACCAAGTTGGCCTGTTCCCCGGACACACATTGTATCTCTACACTCAGATAAACATTGCACCCTTACACACTTATTTTTCACTCTAGGCTCTATCTCCAGGCTCTTTGCCAAGTGCTAAAAATAAATGTGCTAGACAAAAAAAAAAAGAATTTTTAAAAATGTTCGTTCGATAAGTCACACATTTTTGATTGAATTCATAACTACTTTAAACACAGTTTGAATACTATTTCATTTCAACAAACCAAAATCTACAATTATTATTATTTTCATCATCTACATCGATTTGTTTGAGTTATGTTTGATTCCCTTCTATAATAACTAATGAGAAGTTATGTTTTTCAGTGCCCTGGCATTCATCATTTTATATATGCCTTCCCTGCTCTAAATTTTGTTTGTGGACATTTGAAAGTGTGTATCCTGTGTTCTGTAATCCTTCCCTCATCTCAGGTTACACAAATATCTCCAGCCCTCCTTCTAGGGATCTGTAGTTATGCAAACAGCCACCGATTGTTTATAAACACGCATAATATCTTAGCAGGAACTTGCCTCAACTTTTGTTTTTGTAAGACTGGTCTTGTTCCATCTCAAAAATTATTGTATATATGAAACACCTACATATTTTGCAGGGTTGTACAATGGGTAATTAACCATGCAGTATTACAAATTTAGTTATACTGGAACAAGCGCTAACAATGGCCGGCTCTGGCAATCTTACAATTAACTTTTGGGTTTTTTTGCCCATGGAAAGTGCTGCAGATGAAATGGGAAGCTTAGAAATAATCAGAACCAAATTCAGATTTATCAATGAAATGCAGCTTTGCATTCAGTACTCCACAAAATGCCTTATTACCCCTTGAGTAGCTCAAAGTAAAATGGCCATAACTATGGTTTTAATTGAGTATTGTTTTAGAGCTGGAATATTGAAGTCATTGTTAAATGATATGCTGAAGAAAAGGGCTAAGTTAGTAATGATGGCTTGTGGGGTGTCTAAACTGTGTGTATGAACTCTGGTGGGGAGTGTCCACATGTGGTCCTCTGGCATTTTATAGTTTTTTAGAGGAACACTCTCAGCACCATACCCACTACAGCAGGTGGTAGACATTTTGGTGCCAGGAGAGTCCTAGTGCCCCTCCAGTGTAAGTTGTGAAACCTTGTTAGCGAACTGTAGTGGTTTTGATCTTTGGAGTGTCCACAATTTTATTGAGTAGCTTTTATACAGGAATTTTACGTAACAGGTTTATCTAGTTATTGTAGCATTGGACTATATGTTGCTGCTAGGTGCTATATACACCTTCATTCATTATATATATATGATTACATCAGCCAGGGAGGCACATAGGGAGCTTTCTGGCTATTGAAGTCCTATTTGCAGAATTTAAGCCACAGTTTATTATTACAACAAGGTGTGATTGTAAAACATGGATTCCCAGAGACAACAAAGTAGCAAGGGATAATAATTAGCATACAAATAATACATCTTAGTTTAATCAAATTAGCACATTGTAGTCATTCCATTGTTTTACTTAGAATCAAGTAATAATCGTATGCACCAGATCTGTTCTCTTCATGTTTTGGTCTAACCCTACCTTTATACCCATCTTTCCAAAGAGACCCATGCTGTCTGAGCTCTTGTTATGTAAATAACCATCTGGCATACTTAGTTGACACAGAGGTGTGTACAGTTGGAAATGCTTTATTGTAATGATGGATTAATGGAGTTCTGCTATACTACTACATTTAGTAATTATGTTTTTTCTAATAAAAAAAATGCAGATGAAATCTGCGTAACTTGGTATAACTAATGTAACAAATATAACATACTAACAAGAAATAGAATGGTGACTTAAATATACAGAGAAAGCACATAAATCAAATTTGAAAGAAAATTTGTAGTCTGATATATGGGTAGCTTTTGTGTTAAAAAAGTACATGACCGTGAGTTTGTTGTCTACTGCACAACACAGGTTTTTAGTCATTAATGCATCAATGGGATAACTGTGCATTTAATGTCAAAAACAGATACAATTCATAGTTTGTAATACTTTTTTTACATCTTACATTTCACATATGCATCGCTGGACTAATACGCTACAATCTCTAATTGAACTATATATGTATATATAGTTACAATTAGTCATTAACGCATATATGGGATTAAATGCACAGTAATCCCAAAGATGCATTAATGACTAAAAACCTGTGTTGTGCAGTAGACAACAAAATCATATATATATACAAGAAACCCATATTTTTTTACTGAAAATAAAATATTACATTTAATAAAGCCTGATATTCTGTGATGAATATGTTTAATTTCATAACATGTTGTAGTGCAACTCGTGGTTTACCCTAGTCCTCTTCAGGTGCTCGTTATAACTCTTCACATGCAACATTTATCTGCTAAGACTATTTACAATTTGAATGTATGAAACTGTCCCAGAGTGCCTTCATAAGATGTTAGAACGTGTGCATATTCTCAGTGTTTGTGAACACACGCTGACTCTTATCACCTGCACAGTTTTTGTCAGATAAACTGTGCTTCTGACCAAAGAGCATTTAAAGATGGCTGCCCCTGTGGAGCAAGGGTAAGTCAGAGACGCACTGAAAAAGAGATATGTACTTATACGTATGTATTACCAATTAATATAAGATGCTATAATACAAATGAATGTTTATTTTAATTCAGAATAAAAAATCAGGTTTTATTTTATATAATATACATATATATGCAATTGTTACAAAATATTGTCTCTGTTAACAAGAACTTTGTTTTAATGAATTTGATGTAATTGCTTAATTATCAGTAAAAAAAGATCCCAGTGATTCCATTTTTCAAAATCTTTAAATATTTTGACAAATGCACTCATTTTTATACAAATCTTATTGAAATAAAATAAGGGTTGTTGAATTTTGGTTAAGTTCCTTACTTTGCAAAATTCTAACCTAGGCAGATATTTGTTGTTTCTGGAGTTGTTTACCTAGTTTAAAGCAGAAGGGAAAAAAAGTGTAAACTAACACCTATACGTCTGTTCTTGTCAGTCACAGAAAAATTCCTGCTTAGGTAGTTAACCTTCGAACTGAATAGTTACTCGAAATATTGCCATTCTTGACAAAAAAATACCAAGAACTGGACCAGTAACTTGTTGGTGACATTGTAAATCATTCCGATGTTTAATGAGTAACAAAAAACAACAATCTTTCTGCAGCCCTTTTCTAAGATCCTGCAAGGATAGGAAGAGATCATATCTGCCTTGTGTTCTTTCACAACCATTCTGACAGGGTTTAGGTTGAAGTATTGGTTAATGGAAAATCATGTACAGCAATTTAATGAATTGTCAGATTTAATAACAAGAACGTTGTCAGGCACAATTACATGATGGTACCAAATAGAGAATAGAATTCCACCTGTACTTGATAAACAATGAGAATAGTTAATAAAGGTGTTCGCACATTAACTAGTTTACCATGGTACAGTTCATAACTCACACAGGCAACTACCCCAGTGGGGCAGCCATCTTGGTAGATAAATGATCTTCAGACCATTATATATTACATTCTAAAGATGTGCTTATGGTCAAACAATGTATAGATTACATATCGAAAGAGTTTATAAATTTCACCAAGAATACATATGGTTACTAATAGTGATGTCCCGAACGGTTCGCCGAACGGTTCGCCACGAACAGTTTGCCACGGACTCATCATTGAGTAAACTTTGACCCTGTACCTCACAGTCAGCAGACACATTCCAGCCAATCAGCAGCAGACCCTCCCTCCCAGACCCTCCCACCTCCTGGACAGCATCCATTTTACATTCATTGTGAAGCTGCATTCTTAGTGAGCTGTCCAGGAGGTGGGAGGGTCTGGGAGGGAGGGTCTGCTGCTGATTGGCTGGAATGTGTCTGCTGACTGTGAGGTACAGGGTCAAAGTTTACTCAATGATGAGTCCGCGGCGAACCGTTCGGGACATCACTAGTTACCAACAATAAAAATTTCCAAATAAAGCAGTAAATAAATAATAACTTTCTGTATTTGTATAATAAAAAATACAATTAATACCCCTTTCTGTACAGCTCTGCAGTGCATGTTTGTATGTCTTGCAAGGGAGACTCAAATGATACAAGGACCATAGCCAAAATGATTTTGATTAGCCATTTGCAACACAAAGGATGCATTTAACACAACACATTGACTCACATGTGCCTAAATTTGAATTCTTGAGGAACAATTCTATATTTTTACCATAGTAACCTATGTATTATGCCCTCATATACTAATGAAAGTTAAAGTGATCAAGGGGGACAGCCTACAAGCTATTTAAAAGGCAGCCATTACCACTCTAGAAATTACACCATCGAATAAAACATTGAAACTTATCTATAATGTGTGTTAACCTTTTTAGCACCAGCTGTGATAAATGGGCCTTCTCACACATTGTGAGATTTGGTCTATGGCATTGGTAGGCAACCTTTTGGCACTCTAGGCGTTGTGGACTATATCTCCCCTGATGCTTTACCAGCATTATGGCTGTAAGAGCACTGTGGAGATGTAGTACACAACATCTGGATTGCCAAAGGTTGCCAACCCTTGGTCTATGGAGTATCCCATTGTATCACTTGATCCTCCACAGACCTCCTGTTCTTTTGCACATGCATAAGAGTGCAGCAGTGAATGGTGCTCCTGGAGGTAAAGCTCCAGGAGATGATGAAAGAAGATGTCTGTGCCTGCAAAGGAGAGCTCCAGGTAGGTTTAACGTTCTTATCTTCACCACAGCCCACTGCAAGCTAGCAGAAAAGTCACCTTTAAGGGTCATTGCAAAATATGTTACTTTAAATACACCAAGATCCATAACCTCTACAGCCCATGGCAGTTGATATAGTGCCAGGAGTGCCATGGTGCCCTCTCAGTATAATTTGTCAAACTGTTTTAGAACAGTTACCCGGGTCCTGCGGTTGCCTGCCCCTGATCCCTGTACTTCTAGATTCTCTTTACAGTTGAATGTGGTTAGTTCCACCGACCTAAGCAGGCTAGAGCCACGCTCATTGAGTAAGTGTATCAGCTGAGCCTTCACAGCCGATGACCTGTGTCAACAATGCTTCAGCTCAATAAACACATTTGGCTGGATGGCACCTGGAGAACCCAGATAAATTGGCAAACCATATTTAAACTTTCAGGGACCTAGGGGCACCATAAGCACTGTAGTGGCTATAGCGCTTGGAATGTTATTTTTAGTGTAGGTTATAAATAATTTAGAGCGAAGTATAAATTCAATGTCCATGGAAGTTTAAACAAACTGTATAATTATAGAGGTACACTTTATGACCTGACATTATAAATAGTAGATGTTAAAAGAATCTCCTCTTGCAGTTTTTTGCTTGCGAAAGTGCTAATTAACAACTTCTCCAAGTATCACGTTGTCTGATGACTTCATCCTGAATATCAGTGTGAGAATATCTGTTCTGCTTCATAAGCACCGCTCAATCTATTGTAACAAAGTATTAAGGACTAAATAAAGGATATTAGTAACAATCAAAATATTTGAACCCACATTACTGCAAAAAAAAAAACTAAACTATTACATACAAAAAATGTAACCAAGGGTCTTGGACAAACTACAGCTATGCATAAATTAATAATAATAATTACAGGTATGTAAAAATCAATATAAAAAAATGATGATAATAATAAATTACGTGTTATTAGGGAATAAAAAGAAAGTTGTCCTGAATGTGTTCTTTTCTTTCTCTCTCTCAATAATATATAGTTCCGTGATTGGTTATACATAGATATGTAATTGTGATGAGGCAAGTAGTCCCCCCTATTTCAATGTCAGAGCTTACTATTAGAGACATAAAAGCTCACACACATCTTCAGAATATTCATTTCGCACATACCAATTTTAAATCAGTGTTTGCACTAAGTTCAGGCCATTGTCTACCAAACAGAATTAACAGCCATTTTCCACATGAATATTACTTTGCCAAACATCACAAAGTTCTTAGCAGATCAAAGTTGTTGTTTTTTATTCAGAACTAACATAAAATATTCTTAGTAAAATCTAATAAAAATCACAGCTCAGTTTCACAATCTGATATAGTGATGTCTCTGTTCTCAGGCCTATAAATTAGAATATGCAATAATAACATAAGAATAAATGTTCCCGCCATATATATAATTAGGTGGTCTCTCATGGTTTGAAGGGCGTTGTGCAAACTACCTATGTGCAGCATTTAACCTTATTATTCTCATAATGGGTTTTAATGGGCTTTGTAAGAAGTCTGTGCACCTGGTGTGTTCCATATGTATGTGGTATGCCATGGCTATGTCTGAGGAACATAAGAGTAGTGGTAGAAAGAGAATGGGGGAGGGTAGAATGGCTACTGCAAACAAACCCTACCCACCAAAACTGGTCTCTTTCTGATGCAACACTCTGAAAGCCATGTTAAAGTTTGCTTCCCATGCAGCATAAACAGGGGTATTCACCAAACTCCGCATTTAGTGGATGGAAATAGAAATTGCAAAATTGTTGCTTAAATCGTCAGGCTGTAGTTGAATTGGAGAGTTATTCCAAATCAGACGTTTGTGAAATTGAAATCTGAAATTCTCTACCATTTAGAGTTGTCAAC